GTTACACACCATAAAACGCCAGCTCAGCCTTTGGCAAAGGGTTCATAGCCCCCGCCGCCACGTGCTTTGCGTGACCGTTTTTCACCCGGCCTGCAGCCACTTCTCCCCTGTGCTGGATCCCCATCCCAGAAACAAAGCTCCAGAATTATTTTAACCCTGCGTTCCACCTTTTTCACTCGGGCTGCTGTCGGACGCGCGGCCTTTTCCCGCTTCAAGACATCGGAGGGAGCTGACGAGGGGACCGCAGCTCGCCTTGGTCTTGTGAATTCCCAGCTCCAACAGGACGAGACCTGGCTGCCATCACCTCGTATGGGGGACGGGATCTGCTGGTGTTAGGAGGGAAGACAGAGCTTCCACCACCACCTTGGCAGACCCTCCCCTCCCCAAATTCAGTTTGCCTGGCAGTCACCCACTGCTGATCAACGCAGGGTCTAAAAGCAGCCAGCACAGGCACTTATTGGGGAAAAAAAACCCCATTTTTCAACCAAAACCAGCTCGTGCAGCGTGGACGGGGGGCGTCGCAGCCCCCTAAGCCGGCGGGGATGGGCTATCGTGGCTTGTCCGTGGGCTGGCCGGGGGGGATTTAGTTGTGACCCCCGTGGTGCTTTTATGTCGCAAAAGCCACGCTGGTTTTTGGGTGGATTTCCGAGCGAGGGGGATCCTTGCTAATGGGATCCCTCTCCCGGTTTGCGGCGCTGCTGGCGAGCCTGGGCGCGGCTTTCGGGGCTCCCTGCTACGTCCATTAATGCAAAACACTCGTCCGAGGTGACGCTTTCTGCTCCTGAGCCGGGCAGACGCCAATAAACCAAGGCGCCCAATTTTGGGTTGGAATTTCCCTTCAGGCGGGCAGTTTGGGAGGGGGGCTGCCTCCCAACGGGGGAGAACATCGCCTTTCCCCATGTCCCCCACCCTCGGCTCGGGGCTTTCGAGCTCATGGCCGGACGTGCCTGGCGCGTTACGTGCCGAAGCGCCCAAATTCACCTTATTCTGCTCTTTCCCCAGGGGAGAAGCTGGATTACAAAGCCTGCGAGGCGCTGGAAGAAATTTTCAAGAGGGTCCAGTTCAAAATCGTTGATTTGGAGCAAACGAGCTTGGATGAAGACGTAAGTGGCCGTGACCTCTCCTGGCTTCTCATTCCTGTTCCGCAAGCTCAGCCCTTAGATCCTCCTGGGCACGGATTTATTTTTTTGGGGGCCGTTCCTTGTCGCTGTACCCATCCCCTTCCCACCCAGGCTCTTATTTAGCTCGGCTGGTGCAGCGGTTGCGGCTCCCAACGGAAGAGGTTGACCGCTCGTTGGGTGGCCACAGAGCTCTGAGGCATTTTAAATATGTGTTTTAAAAGCTGGTCTGAAAGCTGAGGGTGTTGTGGGCAGCTCTCCCGTGGCTTTTTGGGGCTGAGGAAGAAGTTCAGGCTCCCTTCCGCCCATCCCAGCCCGTCCCGACTTGCCTTCCTCCACCCTCGCAGTGCCTGGGGCCCTGAGTTCAGGTCCCAGCGGGTAAGCGGAGGAGGTTAAAAATTAAGGAAGTGGTTAAAAATTATTTTAGTCAGCTCGCATCCTGAGTTCCCCTTGCCCCGGAGCATCCCCTTTCAGTCCTTGTGTCTTCAATTATCTTGGTTTTCCCACGTCGTCCATCCCGAACCCGGCGTCCAACCTGTCGCATCCATGTTTGCTTGGAAGCTCCTGATGCTTCCTGCCCCCCCCCCCCCAATTTTTCCCCGCTCCAGCAGCACTTTGGGAAGGCCCAGCAGCCACGAGCTTTTCCGGGCCGCTGCCCCATACGAAGCGGGGAAAAACGTGACTGGGACGGCGGTTCCTGGTCCAACCCCGTGACGGTGCTGGCTCTGAGCCCCGGCGGCTTCATGCTGACCCCGTCCCCCATCCCGGGGCCGTGCTGGTGCAACCAGCCTGGATCCCGCCTGACGCAGGCACGTGGGGGCACGATACGGGGGGCGGGGGGGGCATAGCCACAGGGACTGGTTTGGGGGACGGAGGTGTCCCCGACAGCGCCGTGAGTCAGCAGAGCAGGGCTGGGGCCGGCTGAGCTCGTGATGCCGTCGGCTGTAAAACGATCCCGTGCTTCGTTTAGCTCGTTATCTTGCAGGAGGAACAATTACCCCTTAATAATTTAAACATATCCCGTGGCTTTCAGAGCCGGATGGCGCGGGGCAGAGAGATCGCAGACCTCGGTGCTTTGGGCTTTTCTCTTCCAGTCGCCTTAGAGCGAGGCCGACTGCGGGACACGAGGTGGCCGACGTCTCTGTTGCCGGGGGCAAACAGCCGCAGAGGGTCCGCACCCCCCTGACACCTCCCGCTCCCGTCTCCGGCCCTTGGATTCATCCAGCATCAGCCACCTTTTCCCCAGGGCTGCGTCACGCCGAGGACTTAGTCACCCAATACCCAGATTCTCCTCCTCCTCGTTTCCTGCCCACGAGCACCCCGTTCCCAGCAGAAAGTCCCGTCGTACCCCAAAGTCCGGTTCCTTCTCTTCTTTGCCTTCACGCTGCCATTTTCCGGCCCTCCCGCTCCCTCAACATATTTATTTTTTGCCCTTTGGGAAGCCTTGCAGCGCTTTTGTTGCTCTTCTTCGCCACGTTCCGGCGTACGTTCCAGCCAATTTTCTCCGAAGAGGCTCATTATGTAATTAAGCAAATTGTTCCGCTTCGGCCGTAGGAGCGTTAGGCATTTCGCAGGCACGAGCCCTGCTCTGCTGATCCCTTTCACTCCTCTAACGCTGCTGGAAATCTCGGGGTTTCTACCCTGGGTTTTTTTTTTTTTTCAGCCTGATGGGATTATCAGGTGGTTTCTTGGCTGGGGAAGCGTCGCTGCAGCCTGTGGAGCTGGGGAACCCCGCAGAGAGCGGACAGGCACCGAGCTGGTAGCCCGGCCTCAGCTCAGGTTGAATATCCAGGAAAAAAAAAAACCAAAACCACACGCACATTTTCCCGTGTCCTCAGAAGCGTCGAGCGCCTGCGCGTCACTGTAACCTTCTCCGGCCGAGTTTTGCTTCCTCCCCTGGTGCCCGGTTGAATCCATCATCCCAACCTGATGAAGTTCACCAAGGGCCAAGTGTTGGGTGCTGCCCTTGGGGAGGTTGAACCCCAGGCACCAGTACAGGCTGGGGGCTGACCTGCTGGGAAGCAGCTCTGCCCAGAGGGACCTGGGGGTCCTGGGGGGCT